TATCAGCACGGAGGGATGAGCGTTGGCTCAGGAAAATATTTCAAGGCTTAGGAGACGAAGGGGTAACCTTCACCGTCCCAATCACTTCTCTTCTTCTCTTCTCCTCCTCCTGCTCCTCCACTAGCTCCTTCCCCCCCTCCGCCCAATCCCCTTCCTTCGCACCTGCCCCCGACCTCCTTATTCCAGTTTTCGTTTTCCACTTTTTTATTTTTTTACATCTTGACAACCAAAGGTGTAATATTGCAGTTCTAAGGTCTCCCCTCTTCTTCAATTGGAATCCCCCTCCGCCTCCCTTCCCCCTCCAACCCCGCTCCCCCCCCCTTCCCCCCTTTCTTCTACCGTACTTGATGGCTGTCACATCCATCCTTGGGACGAGCTCATTTATGTTGGGCTCCAGGGGACTGGTAGCCGTTAGGCATTTCTATGACGGATAGTCTGAATTCAAGGATGCAAGCACGTATATATGTCCGGGTCCCGGGGACTATAGCCATTAGCCATTTGATAGTCTGAATTCAAGGATGCAAGCACGTATATAGGTCCGGGTCCCGGGGACTATAGCCATTAGCCATTAGCCATTTGCTAGTCTGAATTCAAGGATGCAAGCACGTATATATGTCCGGGGACTATAGCCATTAGCCATTAGCCATTTGCTAGTCTGAATTCAAGGATGCAAGCACGTATATATGTCCGGGTCCCGGGGAATATAGCCATTAGCCATTAGCCATTTGCCATTCCTATTACGGATGATCTGAATTCGAGGATGGGACTACCGTCTTCACGCGAATAGAACGCCCGGTAATTACCGCCGTATCTGGGCTGAAAGTTGTGCCAAATGCAGCTGTAATGACCGGGCTGAATTCGAGGATGTAAGTACGTATAGTCATTAGCCATTCCTATTACGGACAGTCTGAATTCGAGTATGTAAGTACGTATATGACCACTACGATCGGATCATTGAGGCTACGGTAGATGGCGATGTTCGACTTTTTTGAAGTTTTTTCCCCATTTATTTTCTTTTTCCCCATTTATTTTCTTAGATCGATTGGCCCTACCCTTTCACGTAGTGAGGCTTGCTTTTTTTTGTAACCCGGGGCGAGCTCCAACTTTTTTTGCTTCCACAGTTAAATAATATA